TGGATAAGCAGCCGAGCGCATTAACCATTTGCACCACCCAGGGACTCATTGTGGCTAGTTAGGGAGAGGACAAAATGCAATACAGATACACAATAATGGCAGACTGTGATGCATGCTATGAAGAAAAAATAAAGTAGGCAAGGGAATAGAGCATGCTGAGGCAGCAGTAGAGTGACTATTTTAGCAAGTTAATCTGGCTTTCTGAAGAAATGACGTGTGAGCAGAGACGTCTCTAAGTCCCAGTTTTCTCATCTGTAAAATGGGGGAATTATTAGCACACCCATGTTAGCAAAAAAACCAAACCAAACCAAACGCGTTGCCGTCGAGCCAATTCCGAGTTATAGTGACCCCAGAGGACAGAGTAGAACTGCCCCATAGGGTTTCCGAGGCTGTAATCTTTACGTTAGCAGACTGTCACATCTCTTTCCTGAGAGCAGCTGATGGGTTTGAACCGCCGACCTTTCAGTTAGCAGCTGAGCACTTAACCACTGCACCACCAGGCTCCTTTATTAGCAAGGTGTAGTGTAAATATCTCACAAGAACGTGCCTAAATAATAGTAGGTGCTGAACAGATGGCAACTTACGATTTGTAGAAGTGAGTTTGAATCCTGCCTGGCTGGGCCACTCACCAGCTGTGTATTGTGGGCAAGTCACTCCATTGCTCTGAGCCTCAGTTTCCTCAGCTATATATAAAACAGAAAGGAGAACAGCTTTCCCGCAAGGGGCTCTTGGGAGCCTTGGCAGTGACCCATGTAAAGGTCAGAGACCACAGCGAGGGCTCAGTAACGCCTGCCCCACCTCCTGCCCCCTGCCCTTGCATCCTCTTCTAACCCAGTCAGAAGCTCCTCTCTGGGGCAGTTGGTTCCCTGGTCCAGGCTGCCCAGGAGTCCTCGCTGTTTTTATTTTTATTATTCTGGCTCCACAGCTGAGGCTTCTAGCTCCAAATGGCACCTCTTCCCCAGAAAAATAGGTCGTTGGCAGCTCCAGCCTCCAGCCTGGCCCCACACAAAGGCAGCCTTGCAGGCCTGCCTACTGACGCCAGCCCGGGGTTATGGGAAGTGGGGAGCAGAACCCAGGCAGACCCTAGTGCCAGACAGAGGGGGCCGTGCGGGTTCCAGTGCCCCAGTGGAGCGACCCTGGTCCAGTCGCTTTCTCTCTGAGCTCACTTCCTGTCTCTGGGACCTCAGTGGTGTGGTTGAGGCTTCAATGAGATGATGGACATCAAAGTACCTGGCCCACGGCAGGGGGCTTCACCACCTCTGCAGGCAGAAGCAAAACACAGACATTATGTTCCCACCATGGCCGCTTTCATCCATGCCGCTATCGACCCCTCAGATCAGGGTAAACCTTGTTATTCCTATTTCACAGATGAAGAGATTGAGGCTCCCAACACTTTTTTTTTTTCCAAGTCACAAAAGTCAAATCTGGCAGTCTTGGCCCAGATTCCCACCACCCCTCTCTTTCCAGCAGACCCTGAAACAGGAGAGGGACAGGACTGACTTATCTAACGGGGTCCCTCTGGCTGCTTAAGGGAAAACAGACAGGAGGGGGCAAGGGCGAAAGCATGGAGTCCAGGGGGAGAAGCTGGGGCTCAGACCAGGGTAGCAGTAGAGGGGAGTAGTTTGGTTCTGAATGGGACCCAAGGGCAGAGCTGGCAGGATTTGTTGGTGGGTTACTTGGGGGGAACAACCGGAGGGTGGAGCTGCCTCAGGTTTCCCACCTATCTTCTTCCCAGTTTTTGCTCAAACACCACCTCCTCAGTGAGGCCTTCCCTGACCCATTTTTAAATTGCATCCCCGCCCCTTTCATTGGCACTCCTGGGCCCCTTCCCTGCTTTATTGCCCCCGGTAGCACTTAAACTCATCTAAATACTTTACTTGCTGATTTGTCTTCCCCACTAGAAAGTCAGTTCTTTGAGGACAGGGATTTTGTCTTTTTTTCCAACTGCTGCCTCCCCGATGCCTAGCACAATGCCTGACACATAGTAGATGCTAAATATTGTTGAGTGTGTGAATGAATGATACATGTACGAAGGCAGTTCTATTTTGATCCAGAGCATCCCAGGAACCTGCTGTGGGGGTGGCTGATTTACATTAATTATCTGCCATAATCTCTCTAAGGGACTTCAGGCAAGTTGTCCCCTCCACCTCATTTTACCCATCTGCCCATTGGTCTCAATGACCTCCCAGCACTGACAGTCGGCCAAGGGTGATTTTATGTGGATTCTGGATCCAGAGAACAAGGCCCAGTGCCCCTCCTGGAGTGGGGGTGAGGATGAAAATGGTCCCTGCGTCAGAAAGCCCTGTTGAGCGTCTTTGCCAAAGGGGCTACATATAAATAGCAGGTGGTTCAATTATTATCCTTCCCTAATCCAAGCAGGTTCCTAATCCTGGGCAGGTTTGTGTGTGTATGTGTCGTAAAGAACAGTGAACCAGCAGAGCCTTCCGGAAGCCCAGGCCAGGGAGCTTCCTCAGCACCCCTGGATACAGGTGCTGGTCACCTTCATGGTCTCAGCCAGGCCCTGCCTCAAGAGTCGGAGACTTTTCCCTGCCCCCCACCTCAGATGCTAAGGACTTCACTGGTACCCCGCTTCCACGCTCCCCTCCCTCCAACCCACTCTCCACGTGCAGCCACAGTGGCCTTTTAAACACATAAATCAGACCGTGGCACTCCCCTGCTTAAAGCCCTCCAATGGCAATAAACGCAGACTCCGTACCAAGGCGTGCAGGGCTGCCCAGCCCTCCCCACCCTCCACTGGTTCCTCTCCAGCCTAGCTGACCTGTTGGTGGTGGTGACCTCATGCGTACGGAGTAGAACTGCTCCATAGGGTTTTCTAGGCTGTGACCTTTTGGAAGCAGGTCGCCAGGCCTGTCTCTCCCGAGGCTCCTCTAGGTGGGTTTGAAATGCCAACCTTTCCGCTGGTAGTTGAGTGCTTAACCATTCGCACCACAAGCCTGGGGCCTTTATATTTGCTCTTCCATCTTCCTGGAACATCTTTCTCCCCAAGTCCCCACCTTGCTGCCCGTTTGTGTGACTCAGCCCCCAGCTTCTGAGGGAGCCCTGACCTGATTACCCTTATCTAAATGAGCTCACCTCTCTTACTCTCTCAGCTCAGTCTCCTGTTGTTCATTATTTGTACTTGTCTACTTATCTGTCTCCCCTGTGAGAATGTAAATTCCTCTTCAACAGGGTCCTAGTGTGGGCCACTGTTGTTATCTCCCACATCCACAGAAATGAGAATTCCGCTGCACTTCAAATGCTGCCCAGAACCCTGTGGGTGCCCAAGGATTGTTGTCAAACACTTTATTTATTTATCAAACACTGATGTGGCATTCGGTGCGTGCTGGGCGCTGTTTTAAGTGTTTTACAAATATTAATTTGTCTAATCCTCACAACAGCCTTTTTAGTGGATACTCATGTTGGCCTCATTTCAGATAAGGAAACTGAGGCACAGAAAGGATAAGTTATTTTCCCAAGTCTGCTCCTAAGAGGTGGTGGTGGGATTTGAACCCAGGGAGTGTGACCCATGCTTTCAGCAGCTGTACCCTGCCTGCCTCCCTGTCTTAGCCTAAAAGCTGGACCAAGCATTTGACTGGGAGGCTGGTGGGGAAGGAGGAGAGGATTGTTAGCCTGAGAATCAAGAATTCAAATCTTGCTTCTACTCTAGGCCTTGCTGTGTGGCCTTAGGTAATTCCACTCCATCTGTGAGCCTCAACTAGCTTCTATTTACAGGGCCGGGCCTTCCCCCAGACCCGGCTTCATTCAGATCTCTTAACTGCCTGTTGTTGTTAGTTGCTGCGTGGAATTGATTCTGACTCATGGCAACCCCATGTGTGCAGAGTAGAACTGCTCCACAGAGAAGGAGATCGCCAGGCCTCCCTTCTGAGGTGCCAAGCTTTCGGCTAGTAGTCAAGCACTTAACCATTTATTCCTCTTAAATGCCTAAACCAAAACCAAACCCACCGTTGAGCCAATTCCGACTAGCAGTGACCCTACAGGACAGGGTAGAACTGCCCCAAAGGGTTCCCAAGGAGCAGCTGGTGGATTCAAACTGCTGACCTTTTGGTTAGCAGCTGAACTCTTAACCACTGTGCCACCAGGGCTCCGTCTTAACTGCGTAGTGAAGCAAAACTGGTTATCTCTGAGCTTATTTCCAACTCAAGAGCCCACAAACTAGCAGAGGGTCCTGGACTCCCTCCTCTACCAAAGTCCATAACCTTCTTTTGCCAGGTGATCACAGCACTCCCGCTCGCCATCACTGACCTGGCTCCTACTGGAAACACAGTGTTCCCTCAAGAAAAAAGAAAAAAGAGAGAGCGCGGGGTTGTTTTTTTCACCACAGGCTCTGTTCTCTGCTTCCAGACCTCTTCCCTTGCTCTCCAGCCTGTCGTCTTCGCCCCAACTGGCGCCCAGGCCTTCAAGCTCCCCTCAACACTCACCCCTGCCAGGGCCTTCCCCACCCCCAGAACCCGCCATCTGCGACAGAGAGGTACCTGGCCAAAAAACCCACCTCCGCGGGGAGACCCCGGACCCTTCCCCCCGCCAGCCTGCCACAGCCCCCCTCCTCGCTCCCCTCTCCTCCCAGCGACTCTTTTCCAGGCAGTACTGAAGTCCTTCCTACACACGCGCTATTTTTGTACCACCACTCCTTCCTCTCCCTCCTCCCCCCACATTCACTTACTTCCTGCTTTTCCTGCACCTCGGTCCAGCTCTGAAAGAATCGGGCCTCTCTCGCGGGCGCCCACCCACAAGAGGGGCCCTTCACTTTGGGGCACCTGGGCAGGGCCACTTGGGGAGGGGCAAAAGCGGCGCCACCCCCACTCCTATGCACAGACACACACTCACACACAGACCCACCCCTTCGTCGCCCCCGGCCTCTCGCCAGCAGGGAGCGGGGACTAACTGGGGACTGTCCGCGGCCGGACTCTGAAGGCAAGCGGAGGCCGACCGCAACTTCCCCAGTCCACCTTAAAAGGACGCTCTCGCCAGCTCGCGGCGCTGACCTTAGAAAAACAAGTTTGCGCAAAGTGGAGCCGGGAGCCCAGCCTCTGGGCAGCCCCCGGCAGCGCGTCCACAGCCTTCCAGCCGGCGTGGCGGCACAGGTCCGAGCCTGGCAGTGAGTGGTGGCGGCGAGGGGAGCTGGCCGGCTCGGGGCTGGCGGGGGAGCCGCCGGGGCTTCGGAACTGGCACAGTGTCGGGGCCCAAGCAGGGAGCGCGGGCGAAAAGGGAGCGCGGGGCCGCGGATCAGTCGGGGGTGCCTCCCCGGCCTGGCACGCCAGGCGGCCCGCAGTGCCTCCCCTGCGGCGCTCGGCTGGTTGGCGCGCAGGCGGGCGCTCGCCGGGAAACTGCCAGCGGCCAGAGAGCCGCAGCCTCCTCGAGCGGGAAGAGGGAGGAGGGCAGGGAAGGAGGAGGCGGCCGGGCTGCTGGAGGGCGGGGGCAGCGGCCAGGACTGCGGGCCGGAGCGTGCGAGCCGCCGCCGCCGCGGAGGAGCCCGGGCGGGGCATGTGGGCTGCGGCGGGGGCGGCTCTGCGCGGCCCGGCGGCCGTGCCTGCCCCTCGCCCCTGCCCGTCCGTCCTCCTCTCTCCCGCGCGGTCTGTCTCTGTCTGCGCGCTGCTCGCTCACTCCTCTCTCGCGCGCTCTCTCTCTCCCTCTTTCTCTCTCCCTCTCTGTGTCTCTGGCTCTCTGCCTCGCTCCCTTGGGTCTGTTTCTCTCTCCCGCCGCCTCTCAGCCGGTCTCTGGCTTTAGTTCTCGCGCGCTTGGGGTCTCCCCTCTCCGTCTCTCAATCTCTCCCGGGGGGATTCTCCGAAAATCGCGGGGGGTGCTGGGCGACGGCTCCTCACCGCCCCAGGCGCCGGTACGGGTGGGGGCAGCCCGGCCGGGAGGGGAGGCGGAGGGGGAGGAGGGGGGAGCCTTAGTCATTTCCCCGATCCAGCCTGTTCCCGCCCGACCGCGCACTCACTGCCGCTCTCCCTCCTCGCTCCGCAGCCGCGGCTCATGGGGCCCGCCGGCTCGGCCACCGGCCGCCTTGGGCCGCTGCTCTGTCTGCTGCTTGCCGCGTCCTGCGCCTGGCCAGGTAAGCACATCCCTGCCGTCCCCAAACTGCGGGCTGAGGCATCTCAGACTGCCACGCGGAGCTACCCGGCTAACGTCGAACAGTAACAGGAGGAGAGATGGGTTACACCTCGGTTACAGATGCGGAAACTGAGGCCCAGAGAGGGCCAGCTACTTGCCCAAAGTCACACAGCCAAAGATAGAACCCAGATCCCTGCCTCGCAGTCTTTCTCTCTCGATCCTGACCGTGCCAGCACTGGACTGGGCGCTGGGGGCATCCCGGATGAGTTGGCTCAGCCGGCCCCTGCCCCATGGGAGAGGCAGGCTGTCTGTGTTCTCAGAGCAAGGCGCCCGGCTTCTCTAGAAGCTCTCTGGCCCAGGACTTATGCTTTCCACATGTTTGACTTATGAGTCTGAGAGGGGTCCTCCCTGCGCTGCCTGGGATGGAACAGAAACAGGCTGTTGCAATGAGGGAAGAGGGGCCTCTCCCTCTGGTAAGCAGAGTAAACAGCCTTAGTGTGCATGGGGGAGAGAGAGAAGGAGGAAGGGAGGCCGCGGTAACCCTGGGCTGAGCTGCTGCCAACCACAGATCCTGATGTGAAAACACCCCGGATTGTCCCTGTGGTTGCCAAAGCGTCTCGCTGCCTGATTGGGCTCCTTGCTCTCCCTTCCCACCACTCCTTCCCATCGGCTCCCTACTTCCCCTACCTTCCCCAGCTTCCCAGCAGCTCCCTACAGCTCAGGTGCTCCGTGGGGCTGTTACCTGTGGCTCTGAGCATGTCTTTTTGTTGGCCTACATCAAACACCTGGCTGTCACCAGCAGGCGACCTCTGAAGGCTACTGTGTGTGTGTGTTCACCAAGGGGTGAGGTCACCATTCAGGAGTTCCGCTTCTTAAAGGTGTTTTGCAAAACCTCAGGTCTCCTGGGAAGGTATAGGGTTTAGAGAAGCGGCATATAAGGGGATGGAGGCAGAATGGGGATCTGTGTGTCAGCGGAGAGGTCTCTGTACCTCCTACCCTTGAGGAGGGAGGTAAGGATGAGCTCAGTATTCACTCCCCCCCGCCTCCCCCCCTCCCCCGTTTCCTTTGCATTTGCCTGGAGACTGGTAACCATCTGATAGCAGGGAAGAAGGGAGAACTAGCAAAGAGTGAGTGGAGGAAGAAGTGGGGGTGGACAGCAGCTTCTCTCTGCCCTGCAGTTTCCCCTGAACCCTGGGAATCCGCATGAGCAGCCCTTCTGGTCCCCGCAGCTCTTTCATTTCCAGTTGGGTCCTTGCTGGGTGGAAGGAAGTACTGATATATTTCATGTCTCTGGTGAGTGACATTTCCAATCTGCTCCTTCCTGCCTGAGCCGGTCGTTTGCCCCCTGCGAAAGTCCAAGTTCCTGCCCTGCCATCCTTCCTGGTCTGGAAATGCATGAGCTGCTCTCACCAGTGCTTAATCTTCCTGGAGCAGGGAACTGGGCCCAAGTTAATTTCTAAATGTCTATTTCAGACTCTTCTCTCACTAGGACCCTGTGGTTCAGTCCTTGGCAAATGAGTGGTGATGCTGATTAACAAGTATTCAGATGGGCAGCCAGCCTTTCCCGGGGGTGCTGGCTGGGAACACCACCACCCTTCTTGTGAGCAAATCTCCCCCTTGTGCCTATGAAAACAATCTGTAAAATGGTGAAGATTAGACCATAAAACTTCTGTTCCAATCCATTCAGCATCAATAGCCTGAAAAAGTAGGAGCAGCAGAGGGGCCGAGATTAACTTTGAAATAAATCAATCTTAGGAGGTAAGAATGAATTTCCTGGTTGAGGGTGGTGGGGAAGGGAGGGTTCAAGCTGTCATAGCTCAAGCCTCCCAGCACCCTTCACCCTGTTCTATAGGTCCTGTAGTCACCCTCTAGGCCTGGTCATGGAATTCACCCGGTTTGGCTAAAGGCTGGGGCTTCTGGCCTCTCCTTCATGCATGGAATTTATGACGAAGCAGAAGAGAGGCAGGACAGATGGGCAGGAAGGTAGAAGAAGGCAGTTGTCCAATTTTCTAAGAAAATGGATTTGTTCGAGTGAGAAACTCAAATGTCAGGCTTAGTAAGGCGGCTTTGGATTAAATGACTACTAGTGTCTCAGGCAGAACTGTCAGCCTGGGAGGTGTCACGTGATGGCCACGGCTTCACATGATCACCGTATGAAGGGGGCTGGTCATGTGAATTATCTTGGTTGGGGGAGGCAGAGAAAGAAGTTTCTAAAGATTGCTCTCAGCACAAACGCTGCCAAGGGGAAATTCTAAAAGGATGCCAGTGAAGTCACCAACCTGCCTTCTTGGAGCCAATGTGAGGCCTGTGTTCTAAAACAGCTGCGTGGAGGGAGATGCTATAACTATGCAGGGGCTAGGGGCCGGAGCTTGGGGACATCTGGCAGCCTGACTCTGCAGCATCTGCAAGGTGTGTCCAGGGCTGCAGCCAGCACGCTGAACCTGTAAGGTGCTCGCTTGGCCCCCCCAGGCCTTGGGCGCTCTGAATTACGCCCCCTTCCCAGCAGACCTCAGTGGAGTTCCCATCCATTCCTTCCCTCTGGCCTGGACGAGGCCAGGCCAAGTTGGGGTTCAGGCCAAGCTGGAGGGCAACTGGGCCCTCCAACGAACTTTTGACGCTTTATGTATCAGGGCAGCATGCTGGTGGCTCCTTTATACTTTCCTAAGTGATAAAGTTAATCTCATTTCCTCTTTCATAAGAAGAGGAGGAAGGGGCTTTGGCACTGATGTGCTTGGGCTGTTGGAATGCCCTTTAAAGCTATCGTGTTCTCTGGGTGCTTTCTGGCCATTTGCTGTTCCTTTAGTAACCCCATGGAGACTCATGATGTGATTCATTCCTTTTCCTGCAATCATTCAGCACATATGAATTCCTAATGCAAACCATGTGTTGAGAGAAGGGAGAACCAATGTTCGGTGAACGTCAACCATATGCCAGGCTGTGTACTGAGCACTTTATCTGCATAAACTCATTAATCAGCAAAGCAAAGCATGAGGTGGCTGTTATCCCCATTGCTCAGATGAGGCAAATTGAGTCCAAAACTGATTACCAGTATCAGTTGCCATTGAGTCGACTCCGACTCATGGCAATTTCATGTGTGTCAGAGTAGAACTGTGCTCCATAGGGTTTTCTTTTTTTTATATATAATTTATTTTTGTTGTTGTTGAGAATATACACAGCAGAACATATACTAGTCCAACAATTCCTACATGTGCAATTCAGTAACACTGATTACATTTTTTGAGTTGTACAACCATTCTTACCCTCGTTTTCTGAGTTGTTCCTCCTCCATTAACATAAACTCAATGCCCTCTAATGTTCCTGTCTAATCTTTTGAGTTGCTGTTGTCAACTTGATCCTGTATAGGTAGTTCTTAAAAGAGCACAATGCTCAAGGCAGACATTCTTTACTAGTTAAGCTAACCTATTGTTAGGTTTTAAGAAGACTTCAGGGGATATTTTTGGTTTAACGTTTAAAGATTATCTCAGGGCAATAGTTGCAGAGGTTCATCCAGCCTCCTTGGCTCCAGAAAGTCTGGAGTTCATGAAAATTTGAAATTCTGTCCTAAAATTTCCCCCTTTTGATCAGGATTCTTCTATAGAATTTTTTTTTTTTTGTATGTGTATGGACTGTCATTATTTCTATAGCATACTTTTTTTAAAATTGTGCATTAGGTGAAAGTTTGCAGAGAAAATAGATTCCCATTCGATAGCTTGTACATAAAGCATTTCATGGCTTTGGTTTCATTTCCCACGATGTGTCAGCACTTTCCCCATTTCCACCCTGAGTTCCCAGTTACCTTTCGTCCTGATTTTCTACCCCTTCCTGCCTTCTCATCTTAGCTTTTGGACAAATATTACCCTTTTGATCAAATATAATTAATTACTGTAAGGAGCACAATCCTCTTGGGTGTTATTGTTTATTTTATGGGCTTGTTTATTGTTTGACAGGAGAGTGGTCTCCAGGAATAGCTTCAGTTCCAGTTCAGAAGGGTGTGTTAGGGGTTCCTTCAATTTCTGTCAGACCAATAAGTCTGGTCTTTTTTGTAAATTTGATTTTTTACTCTACATTTTTCTCCTGCTCTGTCCAAGACCCTCTGTTGTGATACCAGTCAGAGCGGTCAGTAGTGGTAGCCGGGCACCATCTAGTCTTTCTGGTCTAGGGGTCGTGTGGGCTATGGTTCATGTGGTCAGTTTGTCCTTTGGAGTAATTGCTCCCTTGAGTCTTTGGTTTTCTTTACTCTCCTTTGCTCCGGAAGGTCTTCTATAGAATCTTTGATCAAAATATTCAGTAATGGTAGCTGGGCACCGTACAGTTCTTCTGGTCTCATGGCAAAGGAGATAGTTGTTCATGAAGGCAATTAGCTACATTCCATTTTCTCCTGCTATTCCTGACTCAAGGAGCCCCAGTGGTGTGATGGTTAAAGTGCTCAACTGCTAAC